CAAGTAATTAAGTGGTCTAGTCGCTTGCTTGGGGAGTCACAGTTAAGTTTAGCAGCCCTGTACAGTAGACAGGTACAGAGGGTAGTTACTTCTATTCTGAATGATGACTCCCATCCCTTGCACTGCCACTTTCGGCTTCTTCCTTCTGGACGAAGGTTTGTCGTCCCGAGATGTAAAACGCAGTGGTATAGAAATTGTTTTGTCCCTGCTGCTGTTATAGAGTTAAATAGGCTGTAGTAATATATTGTAAGTAATTTTAGGTTTTCTTCGGATGTTTTCTTTCTTTTATGTCTTGATTGGTGGAGCCCTGAGTACTTTTATTACGTTCGGTGTAGGCGCCAGGTTTATGTTATGTGTTGTTGTATTTTATTCTTGCATTTTGTGAATGTGTCAAGGATGTCATTTGATCTGACTGCAAGACAAATTTACCTACGAGTATAAATAAAGTAACCTAACCTAACCTGCCACTCTGTAACTTGAAACTGTACATTTCTGCTGTTTTCAATCTACACCCCATATCTGTACAAACTGTAGCAGCTACATTTATCTCAACTGTAGATTTATGAATATGAATATGAATATACAACTGACAACAACTTGGGCTTCTCATGACAAACCACATTTAGAAGGCAACTCAATGGGAATAGCCGTCATCTATTGCAGCAGTATGAAGAACCTTCCTGTCTTAATCCCCTCATCTCACTCATTTGAACACCTAACTGGCAAACCTTCTAGTACAACTCCCTGAGCAATGCAATCATCTGCATCCTCCTAAACCAAATGTATCTTTCCTCTCTCATCTCCCAGACTTTTTAGCTCATCTCACCCCCCCTCCTCCTGTGCATACTCCTTCTTGGTGATTTCAATACCCACACACATCCACATTGACTGTCCTGTAACCAAAATGGCCATGGATTTTCTGGAATTTTTGGACTGTTTTAATCTCAAGTAGGAGCATGCGATATATTTTGTTTTCAATAATTGGGTTAGGGTTAGGGTTAATGTAATATGGTATTACTGTCGCCTCCCCAAAACACAAGTGGGAAAGCTGACCAGTCCGACCAGTGTGATTAGCGATCCAGTTGATTCTTGTTGAATATTTACTGGCTTCAACAAGAGCTGCTGAAGCAGCAAGAGAGGGTTAGGATAAGAAACTATGTGTGCTCTCCCCTCTGCTGTTTTCACTCTACACCAACGACTGCATCTCGAAGGACCCCCCTGTCAAGCTCCTAAAGTTTGCTGATGACACAACGGCCATTGGTCTTATCTGAGATGGTGATGAGTCAGCCTACAGACGGGAGGTTGAGCAGCTGGTCCTGTGGTGTAGCCGCAACAACCTGGAGTTGAACACGCTCAAAACAGTGGAGATGACAGTGGACTTCAGGAAGTTTTAAGTACTCTATTTTTATTCTTATTTTTACCTTGTTTCATAATGCATAATTCCTTTGTTTGCTTGCATTGTTTAGTGCTTTGTTTACATGGTTTATGATGCTATATTATACAGCCTTATATTAGTATATTGTTTACTTGCCCTTTGTTATTGCCGTACATAAGGATATGTACAAACACATTGACAACCAATGTACCAGAGTCAAATTCCTCATGTTCAACACACTTGGCCAATAAAGCTGATTCTGATATAGTTTAAATAAAAAAAGTAGACTCGTTCTGTGGGAAACATTTGTTTGTAGTCAGAAGAAAAAGTCATGGCACTGTTTTGTGTTTTCTGCATAAACTGGTCATGAAATGTGATCTGATCATCACCAAAGTCACAAATATCAACAAACACAATATTTCTAAGATGATAAGACACAAACAGTCATGATCTTTCATGAACATACCCATTAAACATACAAAGTGATGGTGGAAAAATGAATGGCACCAGTGTTTTATTAACTGGTTGAACCACCTTTGGCAGTAATAACAAGCAGGCGATTCCTGTAGCTGTGGATTGACAAAATAATCACTGACCCCCACACCACACATCTCAGCTTCACTTCACAGAGTTCTCATTTATTACAACAACACTCCAACCAACTGCCTTGACCAGCTAACTCTTCCTAAAACCCAGCTGGTTTACATCAACTGAAATCCCATGGATGTCAACTGGAGAAAACTCATCTCACTGTGAATACCCACTAAAAACCAGCTTCAGCCATACAAAAGAAGCCATGAACACAACCAAAGCCCTCTTCTCCCTAACAGACAAGCTCCTGAAACCTACGCACAACATCTCCCAGCACTTTGCAATCAACAAATATAATAAACTTCCTCATCTTCTTTAAATTTAAAATTGACTACATCTACAACAGAATATTAATTAATATCATTAATGATCCCCACAATCACATCGACCCCATCTTACCTATAAAGCCCCAGTTGTTAACAATGCAACCAGCACAACACTTAGTCTTCCTTCCTTACCTCCATGCGTCCTTCCTGCTCCAGTGGTTTGATCCCTGCAAAGATGTCTGGCTCCTCCTCCTGGTGGTTGTCAGTCAGCTGTCTATCTGCCCCCTCCTCTGAGGCAGCACTCAAGTAATATGCCTGATAGTCATCCTCACCCAGAGCTTCTCCTCCTTCCCCTCCTGCAGCTCCAACTTCTGCCTCTGCTGCTGCTCCAGCAGATGCCGTCTCTCCACAGCCCTGTGGTTGTTTGACAGATGTCTGAGTAGTGGCGGATCTTGCTGTAGTAGTGGCGGTGGAAGGCTGATTACTGCCAGCTGAGTCTACATCTTCATCTCTGCTCTGGGCAGGCTCCACCTCCAGTTCAGCTTCCTTTTCTACAGCAGTGGGCATGTCCATAACAACCATTACTGACTCTTTGGAAGGGAAGCAAGGTGGAGGAGGGTCTGCTACTGGAAGAGCAGAAGAGGCATGGCTGATACGCTTTGTTTCAAACATCTTGCTCCCCCCACCGTTACTGTACTTGCGTGAGTCTCTGAGCAGTGGGGCTGGGGAAGGCAGCATCTCTGGTGGCGGGGGGAGAAACTCAAAAGTGTTGCTGGCTTCAGCCCCCAGAGCCAGACCGCAGCCATCATCCAAGCTGAGCTCAGCCAGGTCTGGCTCCAGGGAGCTATCCTCACTGCTGGTTCTCCGCTTGGCATTGGCATGCTTACCGCCTCCTAACCCTCCACTTGCTCCAGGACCTCCTACAGATGCCCCCTTCACTCCTCCCTGTGTCAGTTTCAGCTTCCCTCCTGACGATGAGCCTGGCCCTTTGTATAGGCACTTCCCTGCTCCATCTTCCAGGGACAGGGAGACACTCCCCCCCAGACGGACCAGCATCCCTCCTCCTCCACTCACTGACAGACCCTTTCTCTTGGTAAGAATGGTCTCCTTGGGTCGTACTGCCACCTCCTGTAGGGAGGAGTGACCACTTCCTCTTCCTCTATTATCTCCCCCTGCTCCACCTTCAGCTCTCCCTCCTCCCCCTGGTTCAGGAGGTTCTCCACTCCCTCCTGCAGCAGCTTTGACTCCTCTCTGGTGCTGCACTGCCCTGGACCAGCAGAATGTGGCACTCTTCTTATCAGCACTGCAGTAGGTAATGCCGTCCAGTGGGTAAGCCACCTCCCAGTTGAAATAGCAGGATTCCACAGCAGGCTTGAAGCCCTGAAACAGTTTATCCAGGGACTTGCGATGTTGGCCCCGCTTCACTATCTCTATAACTTTCAGGTGCCACTGCTTCAGCTGGCCTGCCAGTTCCAGACGCCTGGAAGAGAGATTACAGAGCCTTTATTTTTAACCAGTTCCTAGTTAATATTAACTACTATTTTAAACATGGTGTCTTATGCAAACGTTAAGTGATAAATGATATTGCATAATGACCCCATAAGAATCATCATAACTGATGATAAATTAAAGGATCATAAGCAGTGTATTGCCTAGTGTCATTGGTCTGACCTGCAGGGGCTCATAGTGGGGTCAAGCACTGCCAGCCTCCAGAGCACCACCATCTCATCACACATGCTGGCACAGGCATGAGCTGCCACCTCCGACTGGCCGTTGCTGCGTCCGGTGTGGCCACTGGCACTGCTGTGGGACGCAGATGTCCGAACACTGTACCACCAGCTGATGATCTGAACACATACAGTCAGACAACTCAATGAGGTGTCTGTGCCAGTGAGGTGTGTGATAGCAATAGAATGTATAGTATACAGCATGATTTGTGTTCAAATATTTTTATTTAAGGTCCATATATGAACTTAAAGTCAGAGGTCCAGTTTATTGCAAGCAAAATGTGCCAACAATGGTAAAAGTCATCATAGCTAACAAGAGGTCATACATTCAACAGCTCACCATCATAGCATAACGTTAACAAGTCACAAATGGTATGGACTAGGGGTGTGGTGGAGTGGATATGACAACGTTAGATCGTGTGCGATTAAAATGTCTCAACACTCTGCCCTTACAGAAATATTGTGAGCATTCTATCAGCTGCAGCTCTATGGCCAACATGCAACGCTACATAATGTACCTTTACATTCCCTATTTGGCAGCGTAGCGGCATGGATGTCAACATAGAGGAGTTGGTCCTTAAGAAGAATTTGACATCGGTAATATGGAACTGATTTGGATTTTGTGAAACCGACACAGGCATTTGCAAACATTACAAAGATGTTGTCTGC